GCCCCACTACTGCAGCCACACCGCCAAGCTAGCAGTTGAGCATGCACAGATCACTGAAGTGGGACTGCATCAACCAGTGTTACCCTCAGCTATCCATCATCACTCAGCAACCGAGGAAAGGGGCTACCCAACAGCAACGGCAGCAGGAGACATTTCATAACCTCACTAATAATTTCACTCCCCAAGAGCAGCAGAGAAGCTCCGTGCAACCTGGAGACCAAAGTACAGTACAACAGCTCTGACACCTGGTCCACTGTTAGGCCTATGCCTTCTTCCCTAGGATAAACTTAAGCCACAGTTGTCTCAGCCTTCAAACAGCTCCTTCCTACTTCAGCAGGAAGTTTTAGTTGTTCGGCTCTCTGCAAAACCAGAATTTTCAGCAATCCTGAAGCTAAATTATTACTTACAATAAGCACTAATACACTAGAAAGTATTAGAGCTCGCAGCATGTTATAATCCTCTTAATGTTAACACATTAATATTACTACTGCATTGTCTTTGCTAAAGTTAGTGGAAAAAAATTAATTCCTTCCTGGTGTCAGTAAGGCTTCAGCTATAAGTCTGAAAGATTCAGTTAAGAGTCTCCCCTTGCTTTCAAAGGGAATTCAGGTCACCCCAGCCCCCAAACATCAAGTAACTTGTCTTCCTCTATTACTCTTAGTGCTAAGGGCAGCTCCCGACCAGATCTGCCCTGCTATGAAATTGTTTACCATTCAGAAGCAAGCAGGAATGATAATGGTTTATACACAGCACTACTGTTATTGCAACAAGAACCCAGAATCTGTAAGTACTGGGTTTGACATCTTTGCTGTTAAGACCTTCCCTTGCTTTGGGCTTCAGTATTTCCAGCAGCAAGTGACAACCACAGGCTCAAATGGCAAGTTAAGCCACCTGCCTCACCCCCACCAAATCCAGGGCCAGTCATGCTGCAGCATGTTGGACACAGCCTTCACTGAGCTAGCTCTGTCTCCGACCTCAGAAATAGCTGTTCTGTCACAAAAACCTAGCTTTGCCAGATAAGCAAGACCAACACTTAGATCTGCATCAATTAAGAGATAATTTGAGTAGAACCTTGCTATTTAGGTTTTAAAAAATTGAACTAATTTCATTTCTGTACTATAGTGTGTTTCTTTCTAGGTACAATTGTTTTAGGACTTCTTAAACTACAGCAAGTGCATATATAGGGGCCCCAAGAACCAGATGAACAGTCTGTTACACATGGTGTTATGCTAGAGACAGCTCTCAGGGTACAGCAACAGTTTAAGTCAAATTAAAATGAAAACAAGCTACAAAAATTTGCAGAAATCTATTTCTAGACTGGACTACACTTATTTCTGTTAACAGGTTCAACTGTAGCAGTACATCTAACAAGCCATGGAAGTTAACTTCAGTATTTGCTCCTGAAGAGTCAAACAACCTTATTTCTAAAGCAACTGAATTTTGCTCTTTAAGCCTAAAGACTTAACACATCAGCTCTTCCAGCTGAGGGACCCTTCATAAAGCAGGCTGAGCTATGCAGCATAGCCTTCTCCACACAACTTGAAGATGCACGAATTCAGATTTATCATTCAACTATTTCTCACCATTTATATAAGCAAATCATACTTAGCACCCGTAAGAGAGAGCACACTGGAAGAATATGTGCAGCAAGGCAGGTAGGTACTGTCAGTAATAGGCTTTCAAATCCTCTCCATCAGGAAAAGGATATGGTAACTTCCTCTTGCCAAAGAGATAAAGGATAGATATGTTAGGTTTAATTGCCTCTTGCCAAAAAAAAGGCAGATCCAAAACAGCCCTGACAAATTTTCAGGCAGCAAAGCAGCATCCTCCTTTTACATGTATTTTCCACACAACAGTCAGCAAGTCCAACAGAAGACCAGAAGTCAAGTTTAGGACAGACCTGGCTGAAGCTGGGTGGAACAAAGGACCTGTGGGCCTCTAAGATACTGTTGTTTATACAGGTAGACATGTGGGGATTTTTGAAATGCCAGGAATGTTTTACACCAAAACAGACAAGACTAGCTGATCATCCATCTCCCAGAAGAACTGCTGGAATTGGTTTAATCACTGATGTCAGCTGCAAGTTTACAGTAAACAGGTACTCACAGCAGCTTCAAATCCCTAGTCTTTGTTCTACCACCCAAGAAATTTTGAAGAGCATGACAGTCACTCTGATTACACACTAGTTTTATAGGTAAACAGAATCTGGAAGACATAATGCCACTTTGCATCACAGATTACTGTTTAGGAAGGTTAGAACACAAACAATTTCAGATTGCAGCAACTCAGAAGCTGTGACTTAATTGTCATCTACCAACCACCACCACAAAGGACTGACCCCCACCAGTATTCCCTAAATTCAAGAAGAATGCAAAAGACCTCATGTCTACTCCAAAATACGTTTCATTTCCCCATCTCTCCACAATGAAGGTATCTAGAACAAGATCCAGATATTACAGAACATTGATCAAGATTATCACCAGATACCAACTGGCTGTTAGATAATTCACCCACCAGTGTGTTTGTGTTAGTCAGCCTACTACATACAAGTCACAAAAGGGGTAGGAAATGCCAAACCTGACACGATCTAGTCACAACAGTCAATATTGACATTTTGCTCATTTAAGCACCATAAGAGAAGGACCACAGAAGGAATACATATCAGCACTAGATGGGCAGGTGCTTTCAGAATTTAGGTTCCAAATGAAAGCACACTAACTAGTTCACAAGGCTGTCCCCACAGCTCTGGCATTTCAAGGCAGCTCTCAAACACACCTCGCACCCCCTTCAAACCCTTGCACCAGCAGCTTCTAATCCTATGACTAACAGGAAAATTGAAGAAGGCAGGTCTTTTTATTAAGAAATTTTTACTAGCAATCCCACTGACTGCTGACAGAGAGCTCTGGCATGCTCAGGAGAGAGGATGTGGGGCTACAGCCTGATCTGAAGCAGTGACAGGGAAGCAAGAATGCGTTACACTATAGGCAAGGGACTTCCTAAAAGGACAAACGGACATCTGCACCTGTATCTGTTACAGGTAACTAGAAGGAATAATGTTATAATCTCATAAATCTTACTCCTGGTTTAACATTGATTCAAGTATACCTATTACAGTGGCAGATACTTTCTGTCCATCTCACCACACCCTTCCCATCTAACCTCATCCTGCAGACTCAACCCTGTCAGGAAGTGGTAATTTAATATTACAAATTAATCTGAAACTACAGCTTCTCCTCTTTCTTTCGCTTTAAAGAACCGAGCCATCCTCACCACCAGGAATAAGTGCTCTTCGCTGAGAATGAGTCTCCCTGAAAACGTTTTCCCCACCTTCATAGCATCATTCAATATCTCACTGCAGGAAACTACTCTCTGCATCACAATCTAGAAAGCTGAGAGGCCTCAGGAAAGGCAAAAAAAATGGAAAAAGCCCCCTTCAACCTGTTTCTGCACAATGTTAGTGGACTAACACTTTGCAGCTTTTCACTACAAAACCCACCAGTCTGCAGGGTGAATTTGAGTTTAACTCTTAGAGTCATCACGACCACACAGGCACCAACAATTTGCTGGTTGCTCATCCACCAACTACCTCCAGCTACTGTTTTGGTGTTTTCCAACACCACACGAGCAAGTTTGTTATGTAATCTTGCCAAGATGTAACTTGAGTTCCTGGCTGTACCTCTTAGTTCTCACCAACTCCCTCACACTAGCTGATGACTTATTTGCCTTTTGCTCCTATTTACTCTTCAGGTGTTTTTAATGCACAAGAGTGACTGCAACCATGCTACCATAAGCAGAGAGCACAAAAGCCACGACCACACAATTCAGTAGCCTCAGCTGTGTGGAAAAGCATGCTTTAAGGACAAAAGCTGTTAAAGTGTCACCCATGAAGAGAGACAATGGGTATTTAGAGCAGTAGTGTCATACTCCACATGTATTTCAATACCATAACCACTTCAGTTACATTAGAGGGCAACAGTGCCTTCATCATTACAAACTGGAGTGCCAGATCACCAGTGTCACTGAAAGAATCCTAGAAGCTCTCTTCAACACTGAATCGTTGAGAATGCAGCAGCTGTTTTTTAAAGGCTTTTAAAACTAATCCCAAGTCCCTCTTATTCCCTCAAAAGCCACGAGCAAAATGAGGTTTACTATCCCTGACATCCTGGTGAGCAAGCCACTGCTCTTACAGTTGCCAGGATACAGACAACTATTGACCAGAGAGATTAGACACCCTCACACCCAAGCAGGCCAACCAGAGAAAAACGCCACATTCACACGACGAGGTACAACGACCCTCTGGAAAAAAAAAAAAAACCCAACCAAAAAAACCCCAAAAAAACAAACCACAAAACTGTGCCATCACCAGGTTTTCTAGGCAAGTGCTATTTCAGCTCAAGACAGCCCCAAGAGCATTTCATTATCAAGTCACAGCGTTGCAAAATCTACATAAGAAAGAAGTGTTTTGCAAGAGCCATGTGACACACACATGACTTGCAGCTAAAGTGAAGGGTGGACCTCTGACTACTAAGCTGCCAGCAGCAATCGGCCAGGAAGATCGGCTTTCACAAAGAGCTGTTTCCCCCCCACCCCCCAACTTGTTGGACCCTGGGCTCTGATGTCTATTTTCGAGGTCCGGAAAAATCGCCTTCAAATGCGCCCATACTTACTTCGCCGCCGACGGCGCTCCCGGGGAGGGAGGCAGGATGCCGAAGCAACTCGGATCACCGAGCCCATCGCGCCGCTTTAGAGCGGGGACCTCATTAACTTTTCATGTCCCTCCCACCCCCGCCGGTCGATGCCCGTAATCCAACGCCCCGAGTACGCCACCAGCAGGCCTAACGCCTGCCCTCCGCCGCCGCACAGCCTCCGGGGCACGGCTCTCTCGGTGACCGGAGGCAGGCGAC